TGTCCTTTGTGGCATATTTGGCATTTGGGCTGGGCACGGGGCTGGCCACACTCTCCAGAAACGTGTATGTGGTGCTGTCGCTATGCACTACCTATGGCATCCTCTTCGCCACACTCTGCACGCTGCCCTACTCCCTGCTCTGTGACTACTACCAGAGCCGTGAGGTGAGCCCTGGGACCGGGAGGGGAGGGGGACTTCTGCGGCATCCCCTTATGCTGTGTCCCCTGCAGTTCGTAGGCTCACATGCGGAGGGCACTCGGCGTGGGATGGGCGTTGACATCTCCTTGCTGAGCTGCCAGTACTTCTTGGCACAGATCCTTGTGGCCCTGGCCATGGGGCCGCTGACAGCAGCTGTGGGCAGCTCCAGTGGCGCCATGTACTTTGCCAGCCTGATGTCCTTCCTGGGCTGTCTCTTCTCCTCCCTCTGTGTCACCTACGAGTCTCCACCTACTGAGGAGCTGCCACCCACCGAGGAGCAGCGCCCGCTCTTGCCTCGTGCGCGGAACCAGTAAATGGAGAAGCTGCTGCAGCCTCCCCTGCCTCATTGTGTTGCTCTCAGCATCCCCATCGTGGCGTGTTGGGCTCGTGCACCCCCAGGATGGCAGCAGCAGGCATGGCAAACAGCAAGGTCTGTGCTGGCTTCGCCAAGCTTTCCCCTGCCTGCAGGAGGACGAGGGGTGAGTCGGCAGCGCCTGGCAGCGCTCATCCTTCCCTTGAGGTGGCAAAGGCCCCTCTGTGCCCCTGGGGACACAGCAACAGGAAGCGGTGGTGTGTCAGTTTCCCGCCATTCCCTCCAGCTGCCCCACAGTGCCGTCATTCCCAGGGGGACCAGTGGCGTTATCCAGCCTGAGGCAAGGGACCTGGCAGTCTGATTCCCAGGCAAGGCAACCACAATATCTCGGGCAGCAGCGAGCCGCAGGGCTGCACACGCCGCTGCATGCACCACCAGTGCAGGAGTGCTGGGGCTGCAGTGCTCCACCAGCTTCATGGGTAGAAGGTGCCTTCTCACGGTCACATTCCCAGGGGGACCAGTGGCGTTATCCAGCCTGAGGCAAGGGACCTGGCAGTCTGATTCCCAGGCAAGGCAACCACAATATCTCGGGCAGCAGCGAGCCGCAGGGCTGCACACGCCGCTGCATGCACCACCAGTGCAGGAGTGCTGGGGCTGCAGTGCTCCACCAGCTTCATGGGTAGAAGGTGCCTTCTCACGGTCAGGTAGAGCGACCCCATCCTCTGTCACTGAGGGCAGCAGAGACTCCGGCGAGGCCTCATGAAGTGACGGGGCCAACCTGTGGGTCGCAGCATCTGCCCATGGTAGGCCTGGCTCTGGAGAGTGCTTTTCAAAACTTTGGAAAGGCCGAGAGTGACTGGTCTTGCTCAGGTGGCGTAAGTACTCTGTCAAGTGCCATGGCTGGGCTCATGGGCATGCAGAGCTCTCAGCAGCAGAACTGGTCCAGGAAAGTGCTGTGAGGTGAAACCACAGTGGCCCATCTCCCAAACCCTGCTCTTGTAGATTGTGGCTGTGGTCCATGGTGATGGTTGACCATATGAGCGCATTTCCTTCCACGTTAACTGAGACTACGATTTAGCAGGAGGATAGGCAGTTTTCTGTAACCCAGCTTTGGGAAGAAGGGTCTTTTTCCATCAACTTCCACTGGGTAGAAGCTCACTCTCAAAGTCAAGAATTTAAGAAAAAACGTTTGTGTGAAAACCTGCAGCACATCATCCTTGTTTCTCATACAGTTGTACCTTGTGATATTTTAAAGTCTGCATAGGAGGGTGGTGATCAAGTACTTGTCAGCTAGAGCTGCATCTTCCCAATCTCATTAAAACTAGTAAAAGGGCCGTGAGACTTCTTAATTATTCTGATTTTGGAAGTTGTTAAGTGTATGAGACCTTACACAAGTTCCAGTTAAGCCTGGGAGCCTTTTAAGTCTTGAGAGCAAAGATGAAAATAGAAACGAAGTTAAAACTATTTCTAGGATCCCTGTGAGCTGGCCTCTGTATTTGGGTAGGCAGCCAGGGTTCACCAAGGCTAATGGGCATTTTGGCCTTTGTATGTGCCGTGCATGGCATCTCTGTAGAGGCTATTTTTGCTCACCTGGTCTTTAGGTCCAGGAAGGATTTTCTCTGGAGGATCACTCCTTTTAAATGGGTTACAGTTAACTGTTCACCTAAATTTAATCCGATGCTTGATCTACGATGCCAAGATGAAATACCTTGTGTAATCTTTAGCTGTTGCGGGTTATTATACTCCAGTGCTGAAAGCATAATGCACAACTACTAAGAGTCTCTCATAATCTGCCCGAGTATTACTTTTTTATATTCAAGACGCAAGTTTCATGCTCCTCGGTATTGATTTACTGAAGTTACAAAGTCAAGCCTTCAGAGGTAAGGACTGTCAGAGTGATGCATCTGATCATCTTTTTTTGTGTTTTGTTGGGGCTTATGTAGTGTCGTATCAGCAGGCGTATCTGTGGTGTGCTGTTTCCTTGCTTATGGGACAGCCGTTTCCAAGAAGTTCAGAATGAAGCATGAGAAACTGTACACTTGGTGCTTCTGATTTCTGATAATCTAAAGACTTGGAGAATTTTTCTTTTCCTGTTGGTCTGCTATGTAACCTTAATTTCCCTCCCTTATCTTGCCAAACTTTTAAACTGAAAAAGTATTTATTTTTTTAGTCCCACTAGCTAATGCAGAAGTAGTTCTTAAAATGTTTCCTCCTCTTAAGTTTTGTAGCCAGCATTATTGCACTAAATGGATCATGAGCACTTTCCTTTTCTAAGTTGGAGTTGCAGATCATTGTGTTGCGAGGATCTTCAAAAGATGCATAGAACTGGTGAAACTAATGTATTTGATGGTAAGGTTTGTCTCTGCTTCTGTCTGTAAATAATACTATTAAATACATTTATATATAAAAGTATTGCTATGCCCGCATGCATTGCCCAACAGAATATATATATTACCTTTTCTATTTTATGGGATATGGACTTGATTTTGCATATGTATTTAATTAGTGTTTACATACATAGTACTTTTAAGGCAACATCAATGTATGTTAATTTGGTGCTTTGAGCAACACTGGTGGGGTCTGGAAAAAAAACAGAGCCTGCCACCATCATGCAGAGTTGGCAGTCGCACCAAATCCGTAGAAATAACTTAGAAGAGAGGCATTGCTTACTTGCTTATTCTCTTCCTTTGTTGTACATTTAGTGTTTTACAGCATTTACAATATGTGGTCACAGTTGAACTGTGAGCTGCAGAGTGCTGTTTACCTTTTGGAATCCAAATGCTTCAAATATTCAAAATCTGCGAGCTGTTGTTTAAAAGTAAGATGCATGAGTTGAGGGAGAGAAGTGACGTTAGGTTATGCTGTAGTTTAATCTCTATTCAGCGGTGCCTAAAGGTTAATTTTAAGTCATTATCATTAAAGTTTGCTTGATGGCAATTATTTGTGGGTGTTCATAAGTGTATTTCTAACACATGTACAGAAGTAGGGGAAAAGGGGAGAGGGATAGAGAAAGCACCTAATAATTGTCCCGTTTGTAACTGAGCTAGCTGTAACCCTTTCAGCATGTCTGCTGTTTGCTTGACCTCTGATGTGTCTCTGAAAAAAGACAACAATTTTGGAACTTCTGCTCTATCTTTGAATGAAGAAAATAAGTCTTTTCAAGAATCAAATAAAATAAAATTGCATGACCATATATGAAAGAAGCTATATTGGAAACTACTTCAAAAGAGCTGTTTTGACAATTTATGTTCTGCTAATGAGTAGTTGGTCATCTTGTACTCTATAACAGCTGCACTTAATTTTATTAAAAGAATTAGTCTTTGGGTAAAAGGTGGCTTTCTTTATGTTCTCTCTCCCTCAGACTGGAAAACAGCCTTAGTGAGACCTTTTGATGCCATTACTGTAAAACCCAATGGATTGCATTAAGTACAGTGAAGATACTGAGAATTCTGACTACTGGAGCTGAAATGCCAAGGGCTGTCTCCAGCATCTGTTTAATATTGACTTTTTCCATATGTCTGGGTGTAATGAGCTAGGCTAAAGCCTAGCTTTTCTGCTGGGAAGGTTTTTGTTGATGTTCACTAAGGAAATGGCCGCAGCAACTTCCCACTGCCTTTCCTGTGCCCCGAGCTGCTGCTACTGTATCAGAGTCAGTGGAAGGGAAGACGCTAGTGAAAGCGGGCTTGTATTCAGAGGAGTAAATTTCAGGCTGCAACATCCGAGACAACAGCAAAAGCTGTAGGGCACCAGCACTGGGACAGACTAGAGGTCTTTTACTAGAATCCTTAGTTTTCTTGGTATTGCCATCCATGCTGTCCCCTAGCAGGTTTGAACATGCTAGGAAGGCAGCGTTCTACACCATACACGGGCTTCTTCATGTGTGGCGGGCAAACTGAAGCTGGCACTAGTCACGCCATTGCTGCAAAAGCAATAGGCTAGAGCTAGTAGCGTGCTTTTAGGAAAAGCCACGTATACCTCCTTGAATGGTTCTGTACCTACGTAACAGTAGGAAACCCCGTTTTATATATGCTGCACCAAGTTTGGCAGCAACAGTAAACTTTTCGTAGAGGAGTTTAAAGACAGCAGCACGTGCACAGTGTAGAGTGTTCAAAGGACACTTTAATGCGGTCAGATGTGCTGACGGGGCAGGCTGATCCTCGGGCTGGGGTGGGCCGGCGCTGTCCTGGGTCAGCAGCCCCCCGGGCGTCCCTCAGGGCGCGTCGCCGGTCCCTG